TCCTACAAAAACTAACTGTAAATCATTTTTTGGGCTAGTTCATTTTTATAGATAGCCTTTGTGTTCTATTTAATGAGGAAAACATCGCCGAACCTAACATTTAGTCCACGAAAAAAATCCTGTCTTACACGTCCTACTTTTCAATTTGTTTTACTCTTTTCCCTTACATACTATGTCTTGTCCTAAGTGTCCTGTGTCCTGTGTCCTTAATATCGCCTCCAGTGTCTTGTCTTTGCGTTTATCTTCACTCAATCATCTGGTCACTGAGAAATCCTGGAAGAAAGAAAACAAAAATGTTTGATATATATCATACTGAACCGTTCTATTGTATTTGCATTTTTTTGCAACTGCATGAAGCTTTCTTCATCCTACACGACATGCATCAATGGCAGCAGAATTTCCGTATTTATGATTGTCTTTATTCTCATCACCTGTTTGGTTGACAATGTACTAATTTTGTGAGGAGAAATTGGATTTCGATCACTTTTGTAAGCTAATGGATCAGAAAATCTCAACATTATTGGCGGTAACTATGGCTATGATATACTTCTTGATTTCTGTTGTCCTTTAAACAGAGAGGAACAAATTTGAATTTGCGGACTGGTTACATAGCAACGTCAGTAGTAAAATCAACGACAACATTGCACCTGTGACACTATATGATTTAACTGTTTTGCTGTTGTTTTTGTTGTTGTTTTATAAAGTTGTAAACTTTGTAAACAGTAACCCAGGTGAAGGGTAACAGGTGTCAGCAAAAGTTATCATACCACAAAAAGCTTTCCTTTTCACGTTTTGGGTCTACAATAATTATTTGCAATAAATGTGTTGTACATAACATAGGCTCTCCATTCACTTTTGCTCTGGCAACTTAGTAAAACAAACTATAGGTCACAACAAAAATATTTCAAAGAAAACTGAGATGAGTCCCAAATATTCGAAGTTATTACAACAGATGTCAGCTCTAATAATCCATCTTGATTTAACCTTCGTAACATGTCAAAATAAGTTTTTAACACTGCTGATAAAAACTACAATAAGATATGTCGTGTTCAATAATTGCATTAGTTAACCCCTTCATCAATAAACCAATTTCAATATATTAGAATTCTAACTTGGCTCCAAGGCTTAGAGGAGTAAAACAAAAGAAATTTATCATCCATCCCTCAAACTCAATGTGTTTGGTTTGTTTTATTCCCCAAAGCCTCAAAGCCGAGGTAGAATTTTGATATATCAAACTTGGCCTATTCTCAGGAGACTGAATTGCAGCTGATACTACATGTGGTAGCTGCTATGTAGCGTTCCTAATTCCCTTATACACCAAAAATTACCTTTAATACATGGAGCTGTATCTGAAGTCCATGACTGGTCTTTAAGTGCTCCAATATCGTCATCACATTATGTTCATGTGCTTCATGTTTTACCTGATACAATGTAAGTA